CCCCAAAACCCCAAAACCCCAAAACCCCAAAACCCCATTAATCTTTAGTTTTGTTGACATAATCTCTCCTAGATCTTATATACCGGATCAAATAGGGCTAGTGAAGTAGCAAATGCAACAAATATGCTCATGGGGTACCTCAATCTTAGCTCATATTCGTTCTTGCCGACCTTCACTTGTTCTATAAGTAACTGATCTTTGCTCTTCCATCTAACTTGGAAATTTTTAGAACTTGGGATAAAATTTGTATGAGGAGTAAAGTCCATTGCGTAGTCATTAACAGTTTCGTCAAAGTAAGGCTCAACACTAGTGAACTCAAGGTCGTCCAAATCCAGTCATGGCCTAGTAAGATCTGCTTTTTCCTCTTCTTGGCTGCTGCGAATTATGGCTCTCTTGATTCTATCAGCCAAAGTGAGCTCAAACTTCCTTATACTAGTCGGGTTCTGCTCATCTGGGCTAAACTCGACTGTTGAAACATCATTGTCCATATTCGAGTAACTAGTATGGTCTTCTAATGTGTAAGTGTTACTCTTTTCTAAAAAATTAGACTGAGATTACTCCGGATCCTGCCCATGAATCCTTCATTGTCCTTGCTGAAGCAGTCTCTCAGATTGCTGATATGAAAATAATAAGCGGTTTTGTAGAATTTTGATAGAGGTTTAGATTGGATACACTTCTTCGCGTTCAGCAAAAACTTCTCACCACTCAAATCCTCTAAGGTTAAATGGGGAGACAGTTTGTTCCACAACCCTGATTTGCTAGTGATCTTAAGCGTGATAGAGTTGAGATGTTTTGGAACTGGGAGAGAAAGTATCTCTCTCCTCTTGGCAGGATTATTGTTTAAAATAGCGCTATGCATAGGACCAGAAGATACCTCAGATACTCATTTATTGAGTCTTCTTCTCCTTTCACATTGTCATCCATTGGCTCTCTATGGCTTGATCAAAAATTACCTTGAGAAGGCTTGAGCATTTATACCAATTTTGGAAGTATTTGACACATTATGGTTGGTCTGGTCTAGATCCTTTTCGAGAGGATTCTCAGTTTTATAGTGATTCTCAAAACTTCCATCATAGTTTGATCGCTTTCTTTTAGTCTATTGAATAAATCTACCAGAAGACTTACATCGTCACCTTTATCAAAGGAAGCACCCCATACATTAAAACCTGTTCTGTAATGAGCATCTTCAGGAACAAGTGTCTGAACTTTGCATTCTAAAAGACTTAAAGCACACACCACAAGTTAGATCATACCTTCATCCTGTATCGTATTGTTCTGCACAGAGACGTTCTCAGGTGGAGTAAGGTAGTTATCCTACATCCAATGTTATCTCAATTCTTGCTCGGTTAATAGCGAAGGATTTTAAATTCAGCCGTTTCAAAAATTAAACAGAATAATTTGAAGTCACAATTTAGAGAATGCCAAACTCAGAAACAAACAAAAACTGAATTTGTATCTTGAGAATTCGTGGCAATAGTTTTAAGAAACTTACTTTCTTAGAGCTAAGCTCTATTTCTTGGCTACCAATCTTGGGCTCGGACTTTGGACCTATAAGTGAGTTAGCTAATCCAAAAGCTAAGGAGCATCCTGCTTACTTTCGTCATTATTTTCAGACGAACTACTTCAAGAGTTTTCCATTTAGAGTTAGGAGGAATCTTTATTTTATGGAAGTTAATTAATCAATTTAAAATCAAATTTATGGGGTTTTGGGGTTTTGGGGTTTTGGGGTTTTGGGG